CTACTATCTTCTGCATTTATACAATCATGCAACCAAGCTATACGTTAACCCCCTGAATGCGTAAATAATATCAAAATTATTTCACAATTTATACATTATTTGCGGGAATCAACCCATGACCACCAAAAAAATGTCAATTTGTATCCCTCTTGAACTTCGATTGACATGATGTATGATAAGGTCCACTCCCTCTACCAAAAATAGCCCTCGTTTACAGGGTACAAAAGTACAGACAACACTGTAATCAACAAAGCGTGGAAGCTCCTGTACCTTAATGGGAAAAACACGAGAGATAGGCCTGAAAAATGAATTAGCTCAGATTTTCCGTTTTCACAAACGAACACGATTGCTTTGATAAGACCAAAAATAATTATATTGTTGCCCACGCATTAAAACATTGGGGGTCGACGATTTTTTTTTCAGGGGTGTATGCACAGTACACGTAGTGCACATTACAACTTACCCCTTCTTCACGAAGAGAGCATGGAAAGAGCGTCCTCTTGCCCAATTATTTAGGCCCTTCCATATTACTTCAATTTGCAATCAGATAAAGATGTAGTACTTTGAACGGCATTTAGCAAAATCCATAGTCCCGCAACAAAACAGGTTCAAATGGCGAAACGGTTTGCAAGGCCCCTTGATGCGACATTTAGCGACCAAATTATCTGACAGACGACAGTCAGGACCCCCGACATTGCATTTATTGAGTAAAATCGCCATTGGCAACGTAACTGAAGAATTACTTGTTCCCCTCTTCGCACTCATGACCGCACCTTCACAAAATTAAAGTTGCATGAGCTTAATGCACAAAGGCAGAAGCCGTTACCAATAAACAATAAATGGAAAAGGTGATTTCTAAGAAGACTTTCGTCGTTGATTGAGTGATGAATTTATCAGTTATTTTTTTACGATTCTATTTAAATTTTTAAAATTCGATGTCACCCATTGGTTCAAGCCTATATGACCACAGTGGCGTAACTGGGGTACTGTCAACCGGGGTAACTTCGGCAGGTTACAATCCTGATGGTCTCTGCTTTTCCAAAAACATAAATTATTTTTCATTATTGACTGGATATGTTTGCCATATGAAGCATTAAGTCTAGTCTAGTAGTAGAAAATAGCCACCCACTTCTTGAAATTGGGAGTTAAAGTTTTATTAAGTGATACCAAACTACATTATGCGGGGGGAGGGGCTCCTTTTCTGGAGAGGGCACTCAATGTGTCTATGGTCACAGTTAAAACACTGACCACGGTGGACAATCACTAGCTTTTATTCCCCTTTTCTAAATTCTGGACGCAATTGAGGGCACTTCTTTCAACATAGTCAGTTAGCACTGAAAAGTATTCTTCTGGCCTTTACAATAAGCAAAACTTGTGTGACTGTCTCGGAGTCTAGTTTTTCTTACAAATCGACAGGCTGCCTGCACATGAAATGTTGACGAGATTGTGCTTCTGTACAAGCTTCCTTACCCAAGCAGTTCCTTGGTACTCTTGGTACCCTGTGTCAACACAATAAAACACAGTACTTTCCTGCTTCTGTTGTCTAACGTAAGTCGTATCTTCTGATCCGGAGGGGAAGGTGTACTCAGCTCCAGAAGTGGCACTTCTCGAGTGAACGTAACGAAATGTCGATTTGCCCGAATCGCACAGACCCCACGGAGCGGCGTCCCTCTTTTACAGCCGGCTCATGACTGTCACGTACTTGTTATCACACGTATACACTTACATGAGGGATTTATGAACTTGCCCTTTACTTATCAAAAGTTGAGGTCACGTGTAAATGAGGCAGTTCGATATTCCAACAGCGCGTTCGAGGTAGTTCGCGGCCCTACGATTGCACTACACCAAATACGCGCCCATAGAAAACATTGCAAAATCGGACCGAAATAGCGCCGCCTGTTGACTCTCGTGAAGAGCTTAGCCTCCTTTTTTTCCACTTGAAATTCATGATTATGGCCAGAAGATCACTTTTCGTTTCAATTTCGTGGGGGTTAGCAACGAAATTTTCTTTATCCGCCTTTGAACAAAGATACTCCCAAAATAGCAATAAAACTAAGCGCTCATTTCTGAATGTAACCGCCCGTCTCTATCCAAAATAGGTCCGCAATTTCAGGCTTTTTGTGACAGAAATACCGTGAACTGGAGACTATCTGTCCTAGATTCGAGATTTAAAGAAATATTTCTATGATGCCTCCTCATTATGGCATGTCTTATTGTAAAAACTCCGTGGGATCACAAAATATGATGAGCTCGCGCGCAGAAATACAAGCATTTGGTGGAATGCACCCCTACGCGAACTGGCGCGTATGCTTTGTTCACAAATGACATTGCTTTTTTTGAAATAGAGTACCGAAGTGAGTACGTCACACGCACAAGTATGGGTGCAAAATCAATGTGTAAAATGCATTTAAGCCCGAGAACCAGCGTGGGAACCGACAAGCGCGTACTCCGTTCGTTTGTACTCTATACCGAACTGGTTCATTACAGTCAAAGTAGGGAAAAACATCATTAACACGATCGCTCATTGAAGCCTCTTTCATTAAGCAAGTAGCTATAGTTCAATGTATTAGGGCGGAGAGGTGGGGTGATACCATCATGTTGAAAGATTGCCCTCAAATTGGTAGATCAGTTTCCTTCGAGACACCTGGCTCGATCCTCTGAAGAAAAGGGGTTAACAGCATTGCCAGAAATCCCACGAAGAAAAAGCTCGCGAAGATCAAAAATGGCACCATAAAAGTTTGGAAAGCATCGTAGAGGGCGCCTGTACGTGAAATGGAAAAACACAGTGAGTCTGTGTGTGTGAAACCTGCCTGCATATATAGCCACGCGTTTGAAACTTAGACGATCTTCGACACACGTCTACGAGAAATTGCTGCGGTTGGTGCACCCTGTAACGACTCCCATAGTAACATTTGAAACAAAATGGGCTTGATTGTTAAACTCATATGTTAAAATTATGCACTATTCACTGTGAAATAGAGCACAAACCAGGACATGCCCAAGGTACGTTTACGTAACGAGATGGCAATATTAACAGGTAATGAAGAGCTTTTACATTTGTCCAGAGACTTTTTTCTTCAATGACTTATACTTCTTTCTTCCTCGCCTCAAAACAGTTTTTATTTTCTTCCTTTTGGAATAAATCTGATTTGGGTGTAATGTAATACATGTCATTTGTTTTCTGTTCCAATCTTTTATTATGTGAAGGTCAAGCGATCTTCCGTAGAAACTCTGTGCAAAACTGTGATGTTAATGACCCACCTGCAAATATTGGACCCAAGAGATCCGCACCTGCTGCAATACTACAATAAATTCCGTAGGCGGATGCCATGTTCTCCTTGCCGACGAACTGTCGTAAGATAACAGGTGTCATTGTGTGTTGGAAAGCGACAGCCCCGCCCATCACAGCAGACGACACCATAAAAACAGCGTAGCTGCGAATGTGAGCTGCAAGCAGCGACATTAACACGGCACTGCCCATGATGACCATGGCCACCCTGTAGATCACCTCTGAAGATACCTTCCTATTGACACACCCGCTCACAAGGTACCCAAGCAAACTGGTGATTCCAACTGCACTGATAAGAAACGACGCCCGTTGGTCTTGTACCCCAGATTTCACAGCACATGGAATGAGATATATTAAGTAGCAACTGTATCCCATGACGTAGTTAATCTGTGCGAAGCAAAAAACTGAAAAACGGTAGCTTTGGCGAAGCAACTTCAGTCGGAACAGCTTGACGACTCTCGTGAGGAAACAAACAGAAGATGGGCTTTTCTTCACAGTGACGGCCTTAGAATTCACAAATGTATATTCCGATTCTATTCTATCTTCATCGATCCTCTCATCAGACTCGTTGAGACCCAACTCCGCACGACTAGACTTACTGGTCGATTGAGAAAAAGGGCGGAATACCGCCCCTGCGACACATATGTTAGAAGTAATGCCGCTGGTAATCAGCAAAGTTCCCCTCCAACCGTAGGCATCAAGGAGTAATTGGAAGAAGGGTGCAAAGGCTAGCAGTCCCACACCGATTCCAAAGTACCCAAATCCACTCATTATTGCCTGGTTTTTCTGGAAGTACTGCGCAATTATGACCACTGCTGGCGTCGATGCAATACCAGTGCCAAGTCCTGAATAGGGGGAACAAGATATATTCATAAATACCGTACCTCAGACAGTCTCCCTATGCAACAACGTGCAACTTGGCCGTGTACTGACATTAGATAATGCCCGCAAAGAAGTAATAATGCCCGCTGCCTAAATCACGCGCTGGCACCTGGCTGTGAGATAGTTTACTCTATTCTGATTGGCCAGGAGTCTGTGTGCACGCGGCTCGCCACGCACGCGCCAAGTCCATATAAGGAGATTCTTTTGGACATTTTGTAAAAGGAATCACCATAAAATGGACGGGGGTGGGGTAAATGAAAGTACATTTCTAGAACTTCTTGTGTTTTTCTGACTAAAGAGGTATCGGCCTTTTATGAATGGGAATAAATAATGTGCTTGGGCAGTCTTATGCTAACGTTTACAGGTGCCTTTCTGTATGTACGTTGTTTGGACGCGTTGCGTAGCCTACGCGATGTGTTCATGCGTTTCACTTCCACGGACACAAAAATCGAAGCCATCAACATAACACACGTGTGCGTTGCGTTCGGCCGTCAAAATCAAAGACTATGGAAAGGCGCCTTTTGACCGGTCAAACACATAATTATTTATTCCCTTCTTAACGATGTCACCATAGACAGCCACGAAACTCGGGCAGAGATACCAGAGTGTTGTTCACAAATATAGTTTCCCTTTCTGTTTAGCAGCATACATTTAAAAGACATGTGTTAGTGTGCGTTCCACTGCAACTTCGTATGTTCAACTTTTTTCGTAACGACAATACACGCCAAGATAAACATCTTTAATATTATTACCAAGCATGAACGCCAGTCGTACCTGCAAGAGTGCCCATGACATACATTTGATAAATGTTTTTCGTTAGAGCCCCACCAATCAATCCTACGGTGTTAAGTAGGCCACCAAACATGGTGGTTGGTCGACATCCGAAACGATTACATAACACCCCGCCAAAGAAACCTGGTAAAAAAAGAAGAAGAAGAAGAAGAAGAAGTTAAATAGCTAATGCAATTCTAAAGGAAGATATGCTCATTTGTGATATTTACTTCGTGTTACATTGCACTGAATAACAGATATAGGCCTATAGGCCTATTAAAGCAGTGCGAATGACGTGGGGGCTTCGGTAAATGATACCACAAAATCAGTACTTTTATAAATAGGCCTAAAAGCCTAAAAGCGAAAACTATCTGCCCGTATGATGGCTTAATTTTCTTTCCTTGAAGGTTGAGTTGCCTAAATCTAATTAAAATAACGAAACATCGGTAATCAAAAGGGGTGAAATGTTGTGACTCTTTAAAAAGATTGGAGGTCAACTGAAGAACATTTATTTCATTTTTTCCTTTGCCATCAGTGCTTACATCCCAAGTATGACGTCGCCGATATGATGCTGGAGATGGCTCCAGTCTGCGAAGTAGTGCTCATGAACTCACGCTGAAAACTCGAGAACAGGACCCCTGTGCAGCGAGTGATGGACGTGATCAAGAAGTTGCAGCAACAGGCAGCCAAGATGATAACCCAACCCCAGGGACCACCTTCTGTCAGCAGAGAGCACCTTGCCATTTTTGCAGCGAGCTTACAATTTGAGAGTCCTGCATTATTACAACAGAGAAATATGGAATGTTCTTCATAGAATCTAATATCTTTGCTGATTATATACGAGTTATTGGGAATTGGCTGAGTAATTCTATGGAGCGGCTGGCGAAGATTTGGGTCATTGACAATTGTAACTTCTGGACAAATGTATTGTAACAAATTGCTTTTACAGGTTTATTAGGTTTCAGTTGAAGGTGACATCATTCTTAGTTATGCATTGTGAGAGACCAGTGTATTGGTATCCGAGCAGTATTAACGAATAGCTGCGTCACTAGTTCTGCGTTTATTTGTGTATGTGTACGGCAGCGCGAGACTGGCGCAAGTTTATGTTTCGTCTAGCTTGCGTCATGGTCTGGTGAGTGAACAGCCCTGTGTGTCCGCTCCGTGTGTGCGCCACTGTTGTGATGAAACGCCACAGGTATCTTTGGTGGCTTGTATCATTCATTTCGACAATTTCATCGCTCAATTTTAGTATTTTATCGTTCATTTCTACAATTTCATCGTTTAATTCGACAATTTCATCACTCAATTCGACAATTTCATCTTTCAATTTGACAATTTCATCAATTTGACATTTGACTATTATGTTTGGCGATTTCGTCATTCAATTATTCAACCCAAACTCTCATAAAATTCCTCTCAAGGAATCCTGGTCGGAATGTAAAAATCATTTTTATGCAGACAACCAGGGTGAAAGTAAAAAGAAATTACATGTCAGACCAATACGTGACATACATGTACTGGGTTCTTTCCCGTACTTCCCTCAAGACTCCAAATGCACTCCTTCACTCCGTGAAAGACTGGACAGACTGAGTGTCGACAGACGCCCAGATACCTGCTACATTGGCATATGCGCATTGTTAGCACCAGCAATTTGGGTGCAGTCACCCGAGTGCCAGAAATGAGATTGTGGACACATTTAAAATTGGTTGCGGAGTGCGGATTGTTTTAAGTGTTTTTTTGCAATTGTCTTTTGTGCTTTTGTCCTTTTGTAACTAAAATAAGCCGATTGCAATTGTGTAAATACAGTGATTATTTAAGCTAAAGAAAAGTACATTAAATAAGTTCATTTGATCTTGCTGGTAATCCCTTGCATCCGCTCATGCTCATTGTTGTGTCAGTCAACAGAGTCACCAAATCAATTACCCCCGGTACCAATCGGTGGTATATTTTCCGCCCAAATGACCCCTAACCCCTGGACCTTGGATTGCTCGTCAAAGTCAAGGGCCAAGGCAAAAAGGGCCAAGGCAAAAAGAAGTTAGGTCATGCCGTTGGAAATAGTTCGCCCAGACTGGCGACTCGGAGACCGAGGCTGGCTCGTTGGGAATAAAATGTCACAGTATCCTGGGCAAGATAAGAGGTAAATTTGAACAATGGTCACTTATCAAACTTGGTCTGACAGTCTGACTCTGTCACCCAGACAAAGATACATAAATGCAGATTCTGTACACAGCTGTACATTACATGTATGTTTGGCTATAGGCCTATACCAATCGGACTCACTGAGATCCCAACCGAAAAGGGCAGATGTCGACGGATGCGTGGTTTTTTTCATTTGAAGTTTTTGACATTGCACGGTACGCGCATGGCACATGCACCCCATTTACAATGTTCCAGCTTTTCACAACAAAAGAAATGTATACAGTCTCTCTGCCGTTTAGTGATTACTCACTTCCGATTCATCCTTAAACCCTACGACCTTCTAGGAAGTATGTAAAATCATACTGATTCGAAGGATTGAGGACTTTTAGGGTTAAAGATTGTAGGCGGTCAGTCAATGCGTTGACAACACGTCCGATGAAAGATGATTGTAGGCGCGGGCGTATAGTTTGTACCATACCCGGTCGTTCTTACCTCGATCTTCAGCTGTTAAGCCTCCCCAGGAATCCAAGTTCAGCCCCGTCGTATCCAGCCCCGGGATTGCTTTTTCAGTTTTGTTTTCTGAAGCCGTGTCAGTGTACCAAGATCGAGGCAGTTCCAAATGACCGAGACCAAGCACACAAACAGTCAGTGCAAATTGGCGTGCGGGACGAAAGAATTATGTGATGGTCACAGGGCGAGTGGGACGGCCTACTCGCAAAGGGGGGTGGGGTTGTACTGAGTTGATGTTTCGCACAAACTAGCTTGCCAACGGGAAGACGTCCGAGGAAATGCGCAGACCCACGTGCTGATGTAGGCAGAATTGTATGCAATTCCCATTCTTTCCCTATGCTCATTGGGCGGGGTAACCTTTCTTTCTTTCATACAACATCACTGTTTATTGAGTTTGCCAACCAGTACATTGCTCTGCAAACTTTGATTAGCCATCAGTGCTGCAGCAGGCCATAAAAAGATAAAATAAATGCAACAATCTCTTCATTAACAGCACCGTTGCCAACCGCGTCGCATTAGGGGAGAACTAGCTCGGGGTGCCGGGCTTAACTGACTCTTCATGCTACTAGATGCAAGGTATAGACTTGAGGCGAGGAGGTGTAGTAGAGGGCGCTATTTTAGAGGGCGCTATTTTTAAGTTGTGTAAGGTACTAAATATTTGTTTGCTTGTATTTCGTGCGAAGCTAATCTCGCTCAAAACTGCGCCGATTTCAAAGAATTCCCTTGTAATGAAACATTAAAGCATTTGTTTTCAACGAAGATATTGGGAACATTTATATGATTAGACAAATAAATGAACAAAGTATCAGCCTTCTACGGTAGCGAATTTCACTGGCCACCTGCACGTTAATTAATACAAGCGCACGTACGTACGTAGAATGTACAAACACAACGTACATGTACATGTCCACATATTATATTTGTTGAGGAGTCGAGTCATGTTACGTAAATAGGCTAAGGAACTGAAGGTGTGACATAATTCGAGAGTTTCGGTTGAAAATGGCGTCTCTTAGTGTTGTGAAAAGTTTCCAGCTTGCTTCCAGACAGGCGGCGTTGTTATCGTTTCAGGTAAATGTTTGTGTGACCATGGTGACTCGACTGTGAGTTTGTTCTTTGTGTCAATTTTATCCTGGCCTCCCTTCGGCTCGCCATGTTGGCTCCCAGACATGGTGGTGCTTCGGATACAAATCTGGCAAAATGACAGACATATGCAAATGGACGTTTTTGTTATTCTAACAGAAGGGGATGTATGTAGATATTGTATAAAACAAACACTGAATGTTGCACGTTTGTGCAATGATGAGAAGAATTTCATTTCGTGACATGAACTGTTCCATTTCACCACATGTACGTGTCCTGGCATAATACATGAGTCAGGCACAACAAGGCACTTGGTTTGAACTTGAAAAAATACAACAGATGACGTCCAAGAATGACACAGTGATTACAGTGTGTTTTTTGTTCAAATCACAGTCAGTGCGAACTGCGCAAGTTGCTGCCGCAACCAAGGCACAAGAAAGACTCAAGAAATTCTCCATCTACAGATGGGTAAGTGTTAAATGCTTTCAAAGTTGCAGATGTGGTTAAGGAGAAACATTTACTTACACAGTAACGTCCTAGTGTTTTTCTCAGATAAGGTAGTTCCTTTGAGCTATAAATATATGTGTTGCTCAGATTTGTAAGTTGGTGTGACAGTGTGTCAACTGACAGCTAGCTTAAATTACATGTAATTTAGGCTGCCAACCCTTCATTTGTCAACATTTATGAAAGAATGGGTTTTTCATATTGTCCTTCCATGTAAATATGCACCTAGGTTTGGCACAAAGTTGAAGTAATGCAGACCAGTTTGCTCCACTAAGCCGCACAAAATAACAAGAAATGACCTTTGAGGGATCTTTCAGTGTATGAAATTTTTTTCAGAATGAGAGAGATATAAATTATTTGTTTTTTTTTTATTTTTGCACTGCCCGATGTGTATTTTAACACTGTATGCTCAGTGTATGCCCCGAAGGCTTGTGAAAAAATCACAAGCGTACTCGGATGGGACTTGAACCCACGACCTCCTGCTTACTAGTGCAGACATCTCAACCACTCGACCACCGAGCTTGTCGGTATTGGCTGGCTGGTTTGAGACAGATGTAGCAGTGGGTACTGCGAACTTTGAAATAGAATGAAAGAAGTTGTTAGTAAAACTGGCCTGAGTGGCATGATTGTCATCGTCCCATCACAATGGCCTTTTTGTCATTCATACAGGACCCTGACAAGCCAGATGACAAGCCACGGATGCAGGAGTATGATGTGGACCTCAACACGTATGAAAACTTTGATTTGTACCTTCTACAGACATAAATCAGCTATTTATTTTCCAGTTTAATGATCATTTTTTAAAAAAAATTCTTTACACACTTTGGAAATTCATTGCTAATGAAGTATCAATTTGAAAATTTACAAATGTAAATTTTATTTGTCGTTACAGTTAGTTTTTTTTTTTTTTTTTGTGTACAGGTGCGGACCAATGGTGTTGGATGCCCTGATCAAGATCAAGAATGAGATTGACCCCACATTGACCTTTCGTAGGTCGTGTCGTGAAGGCATTTGTGGCTCTTGTTCCATGAACATCAACGGCTCCAACACTCTGGCTTGTATTTGGTGAGGCACTAGGCATACACAGCTTTTTTCGAACATTTTACCTGTTTTCCCCAGATCCCTTAAAATTTCCGATAAAGTTCTGGTAGATTTAAGAGGATTGAGCGAGATGGAGCCCAGCCAAGTTTTTTTTTCACAAGAGGCTCGTTACTTACCGAAACTTGAAGAACAACAATGAATTCTTGCTATCCTGCACAGCGGAGGATCATTTCCATGATTTCAACAGTGGCCGAAAACAACTAAATTATGTCCAAAGTTACATGGTGTGATCCTCCTCTATAAGAATGGCAGTTTTATTGATGTTGAATATTCTAGAATCCTGAAGTTGATCATGTTGTTTCTGTTTGTTTTTATTCCCAGTCGGATTGATTCTAGCCTGAGTAAGCCAGTCAAGATCTATCCACTACCCCACATGTACATCATCAAGGATTTGGTCCCTGTGAGTTGACAAAGATGATTTTTGTTTTTCTTGCTGTTCTTAATTGCATTTTGTCCCATGCTATTTGTTCACTTTCAAAGGCATTGTGATTAGTACTACAGGCTTAGTACACCGGCCACGGAACAGTTTTCATAGTCAGGAGGCCAGTTGTTAGACCATCAGGCATCAGCCATTAATAGACTGACCCATTAAGCCCCACTCAATCATAGGACCGGCAAAAAGTGAAGTGGGGGGAGGCCCCCAGTCGAAAGTGTGGGGGTCACTGCTCCCCTGGTCCCCCTGCTTCCGCTGCCAGTGGTTGAGTAACATTAATATACATGGTTAATTCTGATATACATGTACAAAGATGATTTGAGAAATGAGAACTACGTGTAGCTCATGAATTATGTCTGACCAACTTGTCAGTGGACAATCTTGAATCCATAGAAGAATGATTCATTTGTAGAAAAACTTCCAGCATAAATAGGGTACCTTACGATTAGGGTCTCTTTAATGTTTGGCAAGATGTTTAATGAACTATTGAACCCCAAGACTTGTGAAACTTTTCAAAGCAGGTGCATTAAATTTATGACTGACTATTTTATTTGCAGGACATGAATAATTTCTATGCCCAGTATCGCTCCGTCGAGCCCTATCTGAAGCGAAAGGAAAAAGTGGAATATGGAAAAGAGCAGTACATCCAATCCATTGAGGACCGGGCTAAATTGGTTGGTACAGGTCGTAGATATTAACAGAAAGGGACAGTAAAGGGGTTTACTGTACTGTGGATTTATGCGCAAGAACACTTCTACCTGTTGAAAATGCGAAAGAAAATAGACGTCAGTAGACGTCAGCGTGAAGTCAGTGGTCGGCCGACGTGTTGGTTTTAAGTTCTTAATATGTCCCCCAATGATACTTGGACTTTCACTTTCTTGCAACATTTGACTGGAGTTTAATATTTTCATTTTATGATACAACTACTGATTGCCAAAGAGATCTTTGTTTAGACAGTCTTCATTTCTTCCTCCCTAGGATGGACTGTATGAGTGTATCTTATGTGCTTGCTGTAGTACCAGCTGTCCCAGCTATTGGTGGCACGGAGACAAATACCTGGGACCAGCTATCCTGATGCAAGCTTACCGCTGGATGATTGACAGTCGAGATCATTACCAGACAGAGCGGATTGCTAGGATGCAGGATCCTTTTTCTGTCTACAAGTGTCACACTATCATGAATTGCACCGCTACGTGCCCTAAGGTAAGTTCCTTTCCCTGACAAGGTTGAGGACAGTATATGCTTGTTATTGTCATCAAATCCATTTTTCTGCGCTGCATTTTTATCAAGATGTTTCATTTTAAAATCTGGACATAGAAGTCTGGCTCAGAATAAGGTGATTCAGCCCTGATTTCTGCCAAGTGGCATTTTTAAAGTGATATTTACTATCACAATACCATCTGCTTCCTCTAGAATGTCCCTGGCAAGTCTTGTGGAGTCGTTGTTTTTTAACTACAATAGCTACCTCGATTCTGATCTTTAAAACTACTTTGAAAATGTGGCTGTTGAATTCCTTCATGAAAGTTGGCTATTTGTTTGGAACTCAGGCATTTTCCTTTAAAAGCAGACACTATCGGATGTTTTCTAGGGTTGTGATGTTTATAGTAGATAATGTTTCTCTTTGGACAGGGTCTGAACCCGGCTAAAGCCATCGCCGAGATCAAGGTCTTGATGAAGTCATTTAAGAAAGAGGATTTGAAGACTGCTGCCACCGCATAGGTGTGGAGATTGCTGGAGGCTAGTAATGTAACTCCATCTTTGGATGGAAATTATGCCACTTAACGGTGAAATTTTTTGTTTGTTTTGTTTCTTAATGGGCAGGTAGGGGGACTTATAAACCAGTTAGCCATCATAGTATTTCGAAAAACTAGTCCAAATATTAAATTGGAATTCTCACCAAAACCAACGTTTTCAGTGTTTTCAGGGATTTTTTAAGTCCCAGGTTTTATGCCAAGTCATGTATATTACTAGAATGGCCTTCCATCGTGATTAAAACAGGAAATGGAAATAAATTACATCATTATTTATGTATGTATAGACAAGTGATGGTAAAATTGCTTTCATGTTTATTTTGTCAGAATTTTTTTCCCCAATGAACTATAACTGTAAAGGTTTTAATCTACTACTTATCCCATTCATTGTAACAGCACCCTTGTGTGAAAACTTCAACTCTTATTAAAAAGTGTTCATTTCTGGTTATGTTAGAGTTGTAATCCATCAAATCCCATTGAATTTTACAGTAGGTTTGGATGGATTTTGTAAGATATAGCACAGCCCTGATTTTTGTGTGCTAGCTTAAGGCGGCCTTAAAAAGTACCACGAGCATCACTTATGGAGGATTTGGGAGTTAGGGTATACAATGTACATCAAAACGAGAGTTTGATGTCCAAACTCAAAGTAGAAAATGCTGAAGCAACTGCTAAGAAGGTCATGTTCACTCAAAGGGTAAATAATGTTTCTATGTAATGGAAGGCTGTGATGATATAGGCCCTGTCGGTTGCATGCTTGTACATGTATTCTGGGATTGTTACGGCCTGTATAAATGTAGGTACTTAGAGCAGTTGACAGGTTTTGGCCAGTTTGGTGATAACACTGCTGGCAATGAAGTGTTTCTAGCTTAAACAGCATCCTTGTGTTAAAATGTCAACTGTAATTAAAGTTTTCATTTTTGGTTATGTTTCAGTCCTTAATCCATCAACTCCCACTGAATCCTACAATGGGTTTGGATGGATTTTGTAAGATATAGCTCAACCTTAATTTCTGGCAGTGAAGTGTGAGTTGTGTGTAATTTAAAGCCACAGTCAAATGATTTGGACACAGCCATATTTCTGTCCTTAACCGTACCTCAGATACCCACTTCCTATCCAATTTGCAATGTGTATGCAGAAAGTACAATAAAATATTTCTCCTTGGTTGATCAACATTTCAAGTGGCCTGAAAGTATAGTTCCTGATAAACTTGGTATATATTCCGAATATATTAAACATTTTGAGCAACATTTATATACATTGCCAGCGAAAGTGTAACTTTACAACATTTGATACATGCTGTGTAAATAAATGGGAGCGCAGCAGGATTGGTAAAAATAACTTAAAAAATACTAGCCAAGTGTAAGGATGAGCTATAACGTCATTGAGGTAAGAATCCACTCTTACAGTTGGCATTTCTCAAAGTGTCATTTATAAGTTTCTCTTTTTTCCTTTCACATGTATTTGTTCTTGTTTTACTCTCTACATCATTGCATTGAAATTGTCATACAGCCTTCTAGAAATTGGGTACTTTTCCTTTTCACACTTATTTGGCTTTTTTAAACTTTACTTTTTCCCCAGACATATCAAACATCAGTCCCAAAGTACACCTGTGCGGTGTAACGTTATACACTTGTGATGTTTTTAAATTAGGGAACAAACCTTATAATTCTTTTGTCTGAAGTACTTACTGACAAATTGCCTGACTTCACTTTTATATACATCAAACCAGATCATACTGTTCAATAACATCTTGCACACGTCATAGAGCTTTTGCAAACAAGCAAACAAAAACGCTCAGCAATCCTGATATTGCAAGTTTTTTCTTTCACAGTCTAACCCAAATGGTAGCAATTACTGGAAATTTGATTCCTGCAAACCATAACATGACTAATAAATTAGTTAAAAAAGGAATTAAGCACTTTTTCAGGTACGTTATTAAAATAAAAATCATCTCAGCTGTTTTTGAACAAAATAAACTTAAAAGTGTTGGCAAAAAAAAATCAAATTAACATTTACAATGACATAAAATGTGCATAAAAATTTAAATACTGTTGACACGTCAATGTCCAAGACATACCATACAGTTAGTTACAGGCTGTTTCAATTTAACCCTATGTAATGATATTTTATGGGTGTGGTTAACACTTCAAAAACAGGTGGAGGAAATATTTCACCAAATCTTCAATACAAGAAGATGTATCAGCAGTTGTTTATTTCCCATCTGACATTTTTACATCCCGGATGAACATAGAAGTTGGCAGAGCACATGTGTAGTGTTGCTTACACCTGGAAAGGTTACCAGCCAGAAAGAACATGTAACCCATATGGTGTGTCACTGGTACCCAGCCGGCAGTTTCTTTTAATGTAACAAAACTAGGCCATTCTATAAATCTGTGGTCTGCAAAAGAGGGAGTTTCGCATCCCTGTGAACACCTGACCTGTGGGGTTTGACATGGAAATATCAATGAAACTCAAGTATGAGACCACTCGGAAATTTAACAATGTCTTACAAAATCAAACTCATGTCAGATGTGACGGGTACATGAACAAAAGTGAACCCCATGTTTTTACAGAATGACTCCGCTTAGCAATATTTTCATGCTAAGCCGTTCAATCAGTTTTCGGTCATTGAGCAATGTGGACACAGACCAAGGAAATAAAGCCAAATATCTTCCCAAGATAAAAAGGTAACGTGATATCTTATAAGGCTGGGAATTTACATTTAATTTGAAAAATGTCTAGACAACTTTCCCATACCGTTAAAATGTTTAGCCAACACTTTACAGAGGCTGCCGCCTACCTCAATGTTTTTATATGCATAATTATACAGTTCAACAATGCACATGGTCCAACCCTTGTGAAAATGTAGATTGATGTCAGGGAATTTAAAACGAGCAATTTTTATTGTTGAAGAATCCACTTTTTTCTCGAAAAGTACCTTGATGCCGAAAGGGAAAAAAGTTCAGGAAATCAGATTACATTTTACAAATTGCATCAATCAAAACGTCAAACCGGTTCCAATGTTTGCAAAAATCTGTAAATGATTTGGGAACTTGTTTTGTTTAAACATGTAAACATCCCACCTTCAATATCTTACAAGTTAATTAATTGAATCTAGCATTTAAACGTGTCATTCTGTTTCATGAAACTTCTCAAGCCTCAAAACGGACATTATTTCATATCATTATTTCAAAATACAAAATACAACTAATCAGTCTATGTACAAAAACCACTTCTTGGCGTATCATCCCACGTAAGTCTTAAAACGTGACTGCTGTCCACAAATCACTATCCGGTTCGTGAGTGTGACGTCACTTCAGTTTAAACCACACCCTCTGCACATGCACTGCACACAGAGTTACATGAATTGATCGCCGTTTACATGGAACCAGAAGTTAACACGCAACTTCAGCGATCGTCCAATGGGAGCCTGCAAATTGGGGCGTGTCCACCTTTGTGACGAAGTCACTTACAAACCGGATTGCCTTTCTGTCAGCAGCTGTTTCACGTCTCATCATTTCCTGCAAGTTCTAGTTTTAGGTTGCTGTCGCTGGTGTCCATCATGACTTGCAGCTTCAACTCTTCGTAACATCCCTTGGCATAGTTGATTTGCTGCGAGACCTACAGAAAACAAAGATTATGTTAAATACAGCGCTTTGTAAGGGACGGACATTCTCAAAACTGCCAAAATCGATGAGATCAAATTCTCAAGCTTGGATAGGTGAAAAACTCAACCAAGTTTGAGTTGGCTAACTGTTTCATGTCTGTGACTACAGTGGGAGTAATCAGAGTGTGGCATGGAGGTATAACGGTGGATGGTTAATGCAGAAACTAAGGGTGAAAACGGCTCCTACCTTCTTGGCTATCTTGTCGTTATCGCAGCCTACTTTGGGTCGCTCTTTGAGGTCATATCGTGAAGTGGACACACCAGCTTCAGTACTCGCCATCTTGGTCAGCTCAATATAATGCTTACTACCTAACTCGTAAAGTGAATATAAAACACAAACAGTGCCACATTTTCTAAGGACCTCAATGTCTCAGAATTAAGACTAGAAATTTCGACAATCCCCGGATGAAAAATCAGTTCATTTAACATGCGCATTTGAGAAGTAAATATATCCAGGCTGTATTATGGCTGCAAATAAGCATGTGCATCTATGGAAAACCCATGAAGCTGCAAACCGGTAGTTTCCAATTAGTGCATGTGTCATTTCAAGTCGTAGCCATAAAAATTTTTAAAAATTTCAGAGGAGCCTCGTGAGTGGGCTTCATGGAAAGGTTGAATTTTACGGTGCAAGCAATTTTGGCTACAAATCTAATCCACGACCTGAAATGGAATGGTCCAGTACTTACCTTGCTGTATGTGTCTGGCATGGAAAAGCTCGGAATGCATGACTTGCAGGACGGGGGAGAGAGGGTCATTGATGGGCAGGAAGTAAGTCCATTCGCTGGTGATCAATGCCTCCATGCCCTCCGTCGGACTGGAACGAAGTGTTTCCATAGAGAAAAACCTGCAGAAAAGAACAAGTTGATTCCTGGCAATTATAAGCTGAATTCCATTTTCAGATAATCCATGCAAGCATGATTGCAAATATACAAGAATGGCATCCCGCAGGTGTATTCCTGTGAATGACTGAAAAAAAAAGATTGACACATAAACTCAACAGAATTTCAGTGGTTCAAATTAGCAGGCTTTTGATAGAGAAGTTATTTTAGTGGTCACTTTCACCGGAGGCAAACAGGGTTCCTCCTCATGAAACTTCTTCTTGACTGATTAAACTCTCTGCGAAAGAATAATCGCAAATCGACAGATGGATTTCTCAGACCTGTTGTGTGTGTTTTTACCTTTCCTTGCCGTTGGATGACTCACTGAGTTTCTGCATGTACTCCTGTCCACGGGCGTTATAGGCAGAGTACCGGGGAAGCATGCCTGCAGGATTGATGCAGCAGCGCGTCAGACGCACTTTATTGGGCATCAGATGACTCTCGCCACTGGTGGAGCTTCGCAAGGCAGCCATGGTGCCTGAGGCTAAGTCCATCACCCCTGCTACAGGCTTGGCCACGGTGCCAATCACACCCTTACCCAAACCCTTCATGAGCCCCTGGAAAAACAAAATCAGTTGTAGAGTCAAAATTGCTCTCTCATTCAAAAAAGGGTCAATTTTTATGTACTTCACAGATTTGTTTTGCCGTCCATTACAAGATAATATACAATATTTAAAGAGTGCAAATTTGTGATAAGCACTTGTTGGACATTTGCTCCGCAAATTAATTTACTGAGTTATATCTTATACAAGCTCACGAAAATAGGATCTTAGTCTGTTTGTAGGGTGGTTGTAATTGACAGCTTTTAGAAATGTCGAACAGTGTTTGATCAAATCTTTTCCAGTCCAATTAGGTTGAGGTACTGTTCAACAAAATGTGTGGTTCAGGGTTCAACTCCCTCTTATGCCAAACAGAGTCTGCAGTACCATGGAGTGAAGGCCTACCTCCACACCGTCTTCTGTCATGCCCTGATAGGTCTGTGTGAAGATGCTGGTCAGGCCCCCTACCACACCAAAGGTGAACCCCTTGACTCCAGCCTTGAGGTGGCCGGTGCTACTCCCGTCGTGGGACCCCCGGATGTTGCTACGAATCTCCTCATGATGGTTATCCATGATGACGGTACCTAGCGTGTTGGATATCGAGCCTGTCACCTGGAAATTAAAGTCAACAACTTCATCTTTAGGACATGATGTGAAATAATGAAATTTCACTGAACTGGAATTCAAACCAGTGACCACTAAAATTCCGAACCAGTGGCTCTACTCTCTGTACCATCAAGCTCCAAGTTAAAACTGTCACTTGTCATCTCAGGGGAGTCACGACAGCAGATAGTCAGGAATCAGAAAACACACAACGTATAATAAGGAATGATGTCAAATTCACTGATCAACGTAAATTGACAACGCTGCAGATCTTAACAAGCTGTTTGTGATCACTTGACAAAAAGATATTTTGTGTTATGTAATAATTCCTCAGGGACTAATTAAAAATGCATGGGAAAACAACAATTGACTTTCATACCTTGGCAGCTGTGTTGGACATTCCATGGGTGACGTTCTTGACCATACCGGTCACGTTTCCCTCAAGAAGTAATTCCTTCAAACCATCTCGAAGATCTTGGATCAAGCCGATCGGATTGCCAAGGAAATCAACAGAACCTAGAATTTTGACTGCTTGGCTCTTCAACTCCTAATCACAAGAAAGTAGAGAAATTTGGACAAATTTCAAACCTTACTTCTCTGAAAGCTACGCAAAGATTCTTGCATTAACCCAGTTAGTTTCTTGTGACGACTTTTGTAAGTAAACAGATGAAGCCAGGATAAGGAAAAGTTTGGAAGGCTAATCTTCTACTCCATTCTTTTTGGAAAGCTTTGGATTGTTTTTCAAAATTTTCAACTAATTTTCAGCCTGATGCTGACTGTATGCCAATTTTAGGAGTCACATTTTGAAATTTGGAAGGTCTTGAGGAGCAGGTCAAAGGTGACAGGTCAAAGATGATTCACACACCTCTGTGTAGTGTTTGACCACAGCGTCCAGTAGAAATTCCTGTGTCTCAAAGGGGTGAAGTCGGGTGAAGGGATCCAGTGAAACGGGGGCGTCCTCGAACTGGATCATGAACAGGCGTTGTTGGGTCTTAATAGCCTGTAGGTCTGGTGGTAGCTTGGATGATGTGAGCACGCTCAGTTTGAACTCTGTGGCGTTCAGTTTGAGCGTCTCAAAAAAGTAGCGCTTGGCCTTCTGTTCTACCGATACAGGTCTGTCAAGAGGGGAAGAGGATCCCAAGTACAGTTAGTGGCCAAGGGAACTGGTTTGCAGCATTGTTGTTGAGATCCTGCCTCTGGCAAAGCATTTGTGTCCATGAGCAGGACGTTTTACTATGATCCCGTCAGAGGCTAAAAATAATAACTGTACACATAATAACTAAGAAAGCTATCTTGTGCTGCCTAACACTGTTAGGCAGCACTGAAGGACCTTAAAGCCTGTCTATTGGGAGTACTATTGGACCAACCTGAGTGAATTGTAGTAGCTTTCATCCATCTTCTCAATCTCGCTGTCAGACTGAGCAAAGCCAGCAAACTGCATCAGTTTAAGCAAGAGGAGCTCCTCAAGGTTCAGAGTCATCTTACGAAGATTGACAAACAACAGCTGCCAAAAGCCCAATGAAATGGTGACAACATTTTTAGTTTGCCGTAACAGAGGTGTCTCACATACAAGAAAATGAAGACAAAAATGAAGTGTCCAATTATGAGGGATAAATGGAGAATAAATTCCTCTTTTCCAGATCTGGATAGTGCTGGACGTCCCTCCAAAAAATCAAAAAAAACTTCAGGGTTGGATTCAACCAGTGCCCCTGCACTTTTCAGTATGACTTCCGTACCTTGTAAATGTCCACCATTTCATGGGAAGACGGTAGTTTGGTAGCCACCATGCTCAGTGCTGGGGTACTGGAGACGCTGGGCTTATCATCTTGGTTTGGAGTGACAAACAGGACAACAGGCTTCTGAGCACCAGTGAGCTGGTTGTCGACCTGTTTGAAATTATGACAAATAAATGAATAATAAGAACCATTTTAAAGTATTTAGCTGTGCAAAAGGAAACCCCATCTGGTTTGTGAACTTCCCAGCTGCTCACCTACTTACTTTCACTGTTAATGCTGCATAGAAATCAGACAAAATATGACGATTCCGAAACTTTATTCTTCCTTGTTTTAAGACTATTATTTCCAGATTTATACTTTTCATACTGTATTAATTTGTTTAACTTAATCTTTTGAGAGAGAAGTTTTCACCAGATTTCTTGGTATATCTCCAATGCCATTCTTGTTCTGGATTATTGGGTCTTGTCTGTTTCCTTGTCAAAATCCTCTGCACAATTCCGTCTTCACTGATCAAGTTTCCTGTTCTGATCAGCCTCACCTGGATGTTTTTGATCTGGACTTTGAGGGAGATTTCTTGCTGCGTGCTGACATGTCGTACCTCCAAGCCAGACAGTAAAATATACAAGACCTCCTCAGGGGTATTGTTGACTAACGACAAACCTAACCCGTCCCTCAAGAAGAAGACAATCTAAGAGGAAAACACATTATATTCCATTATCTTTGCAAAAAGTGGGTTACAGGCACACTATATGAAACAAACCTTCTATTTTAATCTGGTAACGTTTGAAGCCTAAATTTCTTGAAGCAGAATTTCTTAACACACAGGAGTTTACAATGCAAATTTTTCATTCACTTCTGATTACACCTTCAATAGCTTATCAAACTTCAAATGGCTGAAAAAAAGGGTCTATTTGAACCAAGTACGCACTCACATCTAACTCTTTGACCTTTGGTGTGCCACCCTGTGTGTCCTGTGTTCTGACCACTGGTCTGGTCTCCCCACTTGTCTTGTTTTCCTTGTATGTTTTGACATAGATCCAGTCATCTTTTTGGGCTTGTATGCTGCCTGAGACAGGAGACTGTGCTGGTGACTAAGTAATTGGAAAACAGTAATTTATTTTTCATTATTGCCTCATTCGCATAAATGCATATTCCTTAGTTTTATACAACTGAAACTACACACCTCTGACCATGCTTTGCTCTTTAAGAATTGTATAATTTCAACAATGAAAAAAATGTTTGCGTCCTTACTTCTGATTTATGATCAGGTATCATCAGGTAGCCAAAAGAAGTAAGATGTGTAATATTTGCATATAATTTGCATATATTTTGCATATTGATATAAAACTATAATTCACAACAAAAAATTGGACAAAAAGTTAACATTCAGGTTGGAGAAATTCAAAGTGGATATAACAAATTGAAAGAAGAATAAATTTGGGTGGAAATCAAGAAAAAAGTTGCATTTATAATTACCCACAATGCAACACAACCTAATTAGTATTCATACAAGTGATTTTCGGCAATAACTGGGCATCCAATCAAAATTTTTTGATGGGACTTTCACCTCTGCACTCAATTTTATTTAAGTTGTCTCAAGATGAAATTATGCATGACTGCAAATTTGTCATAATTTCTTCAAAATTTCTGAGTGGCCACTGTGATTACAAAAATGCACAAATGTATTAGACATAAAAATCAGCACTGTCAATGCCTAAACCGTGTGGTGTGATGCTTGCATGTATGGGTAACAAACGGGGTAGCCAATTACCCTCATGGAACCCATGGGAAGGTCTGAGACAAAGGTGTCAAACCCTCGAGAGGGGGGCCCCTGTAACCTGGAGGGGGTGGAGGAATGGAAACATGGCCCTTGTGAGGTGCAGTTTGAGGCACAAGAGGTGCATTCCTATCACCCCTTGGTTGGGTGGTGGGTGCACTGATGCCACGCATCTGCACATCGGTTGGGAGCCTGTCACTGCCAGCAGCCTTGAGTTCAATGTGCAAGGTGGCACACTGTGTCATAACCCAATTCAGACTACACTCACACCACGCTTTTTTGGGTAGTGGGGGGAGGGGAATTTCTAAAAAGAGATCTGTAATTTATCCCAATAGAATCTAGCCATCAATTTCTTGATGCTACCAATGTCTGAAACTCTGAGAAGAACAATATTTTATGTTTGACGTTACATTTTGTTGAGTAAGGGATTTGTATAAAAAGGTCTTGTTTCCTGCCCTTACCTGTACCCAGCTATCTGTAATTTGCAGTACTCTGGTCGGTCCATCAGCAAGCACCTTGCAGTGCAGACAACCGCTCCCTGGTAGATGTTTCATGGCATGGATTGCCTGCTCCACAGGGATGTGGTCCCTGATGTCAGCTGGGCCGAGAACAACTTCACAACCTGTGGGGGTAAAAACAGCTTATATGAGAGATTCCGGTACAAAATGGACATGGCAGTGGTCAGATAAATTCCAGTTTAGGGCCTTTACAAAAGGTTTTCTCTGCAACATGAGAATCATATCCTTAAACTGAATGTCGGGAGTCTGGTTTGGCTTGAATTTACGGGCATCTTAATGACTGTGCCATCAGAAGTGACACTGGAAACATGAGGTATTAAAAAATATCCTTGGATTTTTAGTATGCGGAAACACACCTTCTCCAAGCCCTTTGGCTCGCACTGCAAGGCCCCCGAGATGACAGATCATGTGACCATCCTGACAAAAGAATAACATAACAAATTCTATTCAATCAGACATTTTTATGGTCTCACATTCAGCTAAATTGTGTCCATACCTTTCAGGAAGATATTTGTACCAATTCAACATACTTTGGACCTGACCGCTACGGATTGAAATGAAATTTGGTGTGCTGATTGGGTTCCATGAGAAACCCCCAGAACGTAAATTTTATGTTAATCGGTCAATTAGTTTTTGAAATACAGATTAACAAACGTTTGACTAATTAGCTTGACCCGCTGTGTTTGGAAAACCGTATCTCCTGAAGTAATGCACCACATCTCATCATTTTTATCCAGGTATATATTTTTATACAACAAGAAATTTCAGTCCATTTGCTAACATCCAAAGGAAGCCATTTCTAAATGTTACAACTATGGCTGCTAATAACACATGTTCATATGGAAGCCACAATCAAGTAACTATATCTATTTCTCACAGATATTACCCTAAGTCACAGCCATTTGATTCAGACAGAGATAAAGATGCAACCTTTTCCTGACCTCTTTGAAGAACCACGTCTGGGTGCCTTTTCTTCTCTCGTCTGGCTTGCGCATCACTAGCGGCATGATGGAGTTGGGGTTGGCTGCCATGTCAGCAATGTCTAACACCAAGGGATTGTGGGAGCCAGAGGGTGCTTTGTTGGGGTCACGGGGTGGGGTGAAGGCCTGGTTCTGTAGCATGCCTGTTGGGGTCATACGCCAGAGCTGGCTGCGCTTGCCCGGTTCCTGTTCATTAAAAATAAATTAACCATTGTACATCAGAGCAGCTAGTGCGTTAATGACTGAAGGTGAATTCACATGGAGTTGCAAGTAGGGTTCACACCCCATCTCTTGACAAACTGTGCGTAGCTTCATTACCTTTCTTCTCAGGATGACAGCTTTACCATTTGGCACGATGTCAAAGACAAGATTGGCGGATGTGTAGTCATCCCTTCGCTTCAACAATCCACTAGATAATGATGAAGATGAGGACCTGTAATTGGAGAATGTCACAATTTAAAAAATAACTATCACTTAATTTTGATAAAAAAAAAAAATTCCATTCCCAAAATCTAAATTGTTGGACGCTATAAGGAACTACTTTTGAAAATGACTTAAGGCACTTAACTGCATTTTCTTCTTTGACTATTTCATCTGTCAATTCTCCATCTACTTGAGATTTCTCCACACACCTCTTAAATCTCAAATACTATAATTTCACCATTTTGTAAGCAATATCCTGACAGGTTTGGATGAGTACAGATGATTACATAGACAAGGGTAAGGCACGTCCTACACGAAAAGAACTTTTCAACATTTGGACTGGTATGTTCCTGTCTGTCACGGCAAGTTTCAGTACTGGATTTGTTTTCTGTGTACTGTCCAGAATATATCAGTTCTCACAGCAAACAAGGGTACATCTCAACATTTCTAGTAATCAGCCGATGGCGTCACTAACTATGTCTGAATAAACTAGCACATGAGACACAGATTATTTCCCTGTCAACTCACCCACTGCACGTGTGTGTCAAACACAGATAGATGAAGTTTTCGTAATACAGCGGTACCCCGTCTCCCAAGGTGTCTAACTTGTACGTTGCTCCTGACCCACCCTTCGCCTCACAGTACAGCTCTCTGGGTAAGACCAACTCATCCCAGGTGTATGGAACTGTCAACGAGAAAACGTTCTTTGGTCTGTAATCACAGAGATCCTCGGATTTCACTGATTTAGTGACAGCAGTGGCCACATACAGCAGCAAGTCCAACAATGCCACAAATTGCAAACATTTTTGAAACTTTTTTACATGACACAAGAAACTTAGAGGTTCTTACTATCCAATTAAACAGTTCAGATACTGAGCTTGACAACTGTCTGTGCATGTTGCTTATAGTGTGGAACTTGGGTTAAATATTGCAAATAGTGGATGAAAGTTACCAACCTGAAGCCTTTGGTCTGAGCACTGTTCGCAGGTTCGTGTCGGCAACTTTGGACTGGTAATAAATGATGTTAACCTAAAAGAACCAAACACCAAGCAAATAATGTGACAAATATTTACAGTGGAAGTTTCACATATGGCTGACTACTACAATAATAAAGTTTAACAAAGAGATGCTAGAGTTAAGAAAATTTAAGAAGCCTAATCAATGATTCAGAAATATTTTCATGATTTAAGTACGATGTATAAGTCATGTAGATTTATTAACTGACTAGGCATCAGGTCTTATCATCATGACAAGAGTTTTCTTGATGGCGTGGAATGTCTTTAACCACTTGCTGCCAGGGGACCCTTTTTTCGAGCACGTAGGCTTTATACACGGAGCCAGGGAACCCGAAATGGGACAAAGGGAACGGGCCTTGTAAAAAAAGACCATACTTGGAACAAAAGACCAGGCTGCTGGGCATTAACGACATTTTTCACTCTCAATAGTGGAGATAATCCAGCCTTGTTTTGAAACAGTATACCATGGTTTGGGGCATTTAGTGCGAGCAGATTACCACCTGGGACAAAAGCGCTCCACCACCACCACAGCGATGAGCCACACAGCACCGCTGCACGCTAATCTGGCCCCTATTGAAAAGAGGTGAGCAGCGAACTGTGCCAGGTTCGTGAACAAAAGAAATTATATAACACTGCACTCTCTGGGCTCTGTTTACAAGGCTGCAGGCCTGGCTGAAATACTCGGGCATCAATAGATTTTGTCTGTCAGACTAGAGTGGCCACCCGACAGTAATTCGTGTGGGTGTGAACGTCCATTAATTGAAACGATGAATTTTTGAAGAATTTTGAAAACTGAAAATCTTGGAAAAGTGCCGATTCTGTGCACTGCATTTTTCAAACCACCCGGCAGCAAGTGCTTAAGGTGCCTACCTCTCATGTTGTCTACCCTGTAAGGAGGGGGCACATGGACAGCGTCCGTGAAGACAACAAAGAATGTAGCACCCACGAGGCTCACGGCGACATGCATTTAAAGTGTGCTAAAGGTGCCTACCTCTGACATGTTGTCTATCCTGTAAGGAGGGGGCACATGGACAGCGTCCGTGAAGACAACAAAGAATGTAGCACCCACGAGACTCACGGCGACATGCATGATGTTAGACTGGTTGTTGGCACTCCTAGGATGGGGGACAACCAAACTCTCAGTTACGCTTAAAAAGCTGAAGTAACATTTTCAATACTGATCTCTGCTCGGATAAAAGTATGTGGCCGCTTTCCTCACAGCCTGAACAAAAATTGGATTGAGTGTGACTTGCTCTGACAGGACGCAAGACTCAACCCAGTGTATAGCCAAGTCTGACTTAGGTCTTTGACGGCTATGGATACTGTTTTGCCATTTGTATTATCATGACAGTCCTAGCCGCAGGACACAGGTTGTCTGTCCAACTTGCACCCCACTCACCTCATATTGATATTGAAGGAGCTGGGCTGGTCAATGCGCATGCCGCCTGACCATCTGCATGTCGAGTCGCCAGCAATGCGGGCACAGAGAAGTTTGTCCAGGTCGTCCCTAGGCCAATGGAAGATGACGCTGGACCCTGCTATGACTGACAGATGTTCGCTGGGATTCTTGGATCCCTGCCAGAACAGGAAAAAATGATCATTGCCTCATGATGTTCAAACAATAGTCCTTTGTTACTTTGCTATGAAACCCTTAGGGTTGCCACATTTTACATGCTTGCTCTCAAAAGTCTGTTAATACATTTGTTTTTTACAAATATAAGACCGCGCATGCCATTTGCAAATAATTGGATTATTTAGAGTTGAAGCAACATCAGTTCTGAAGACATGAAGAAGAACTTAATCCAGTGTTCCTACCTTCCCCTGGACAAAGTGTCGTTGAGCAAAGGCCAACTTGCAGCTGGAGCGATTCTCCAGCTGAAACCGAGGGACAAAGGTCACAATCTGGGTGTCATGGTAACGACCCCTGCCAGGTCGGATGTCAATGCCAATGTGGTAAACCCTAAAAGAAAACATCATCAAATTGATTATTCAATAAACAAATGAAAAACTGTAAAAAATGGCTGACACTGCACCTCATGCAATTAAATCTGGAAATGAACTTGAAGGTAAACTGGAAATCTGTCTTGATTCCAAGTTCGCAGGTAATTTTATGCTTTTTTTGCACAATCTGTTTACTTACATATGTGGCCGACCCCCTTGTTGCGCCACACGCAGTGATCGCACTCCTGAGCCGCCCTCTAGTGATATACGCTGACAGTAAAGTGGTACATCCTGAAGACCAATGATTCCCCTTCCAAGTCTCATTGTACACCTGAGATGGAGCAACAAATATTTTTAAAATAGTAACTCAAGATTTACAATGACTTTCCCTTTCAGAATGATTTACTTTAGTTCAACTTCCAACCTCCCAACTTCGGTAGCAGTTTCAAAACCCTTTGAGTTACAAGATGCAAATACAGCATGCTGGTTGATTTCAGGTTTACAGTTATCGGTTCAGCTTCCAAACACGTACATTTCGGCGTAGTCTGAGTCAGCATATGAAAACACCAAGGGGGCCACACTCCTAGCTTGTTCGTGGACTTCAAATTGTCCAGCTGCCTCAAAATCTGCTCCTTCCTGTTTGAATATGAGTGGCAACCCTGACTTGTTGATGAGCCAATACCGTGCAGAGATCAGGATCTGGAGAAGGTGCAAAACATTTGATGTGGGTAACAAAACGGCATAGACCACACCATAATGGCCAATAATAGACTACTTTATTAAACACAAGCAGCATACTACCATTGCTCAAGAAATTTCATAGGGTTAACAAAGACCATGGACCACACCAGTGTTTCATAACTGATTCATTTACAATAAACAGCATCTAGGGACTGAATCAGAAATTTTCACGCGGGGAATAAAACTCCATGGACCACAACATAATGACAGATAATTCATTGGTCAATGGTGTCAGCAAGGATCAGTACCCTACCTTAAGGCATCTTCCTGCTCGGCACTCCACTCTGGCCTTCAGAACCAGCCGCCGTTTTTTGGGGTGACTATCCCTGAGCAGGATGTATCCGTAGGCATCCTTGGTTAGCCGAGGGGGCAGTGACAGTGGGGTGTGGCAGTCGGGGAAGTTGTCCATGGTGAAACTGATGTCGTTAGCTTGGTTCAGATCAGCCTGGGGGTGGAGAACATGATCAAAATATTGTCAAATCTTCCAACATTATCCAATGAAGCAGGAATTTGAGACACATTCCTTGTATTTTGAATTTTAGGGGGCATCAAGTCCCCGGTAAAGAAATAGTGATTAAGCTAAAAATTCCTTAATCCTGGAAAATCATCCAAATTCTCATGAATGTCGGGAAGATTAAAAACCTTTGACTTACGTCATATATTGGCTCATCCTTTCCAGGACTGATGTTGCCATAGCCACCAGTCCGATGCATCTTATATTTCAAGTCAAACGGCAAAAGGTTTGTCAGGACTATCGGTGGGAGCAAGGTTATAGTGTGGCCTGGCTGCAGTTCTTGGGCAGTGTTGTCTTGTTTCCGTGAGAGCTCTGAGAAAGAGGGGGACCGCTTTGCTGCCAGCTCACGGGGGAAAGCTTCATGTCGGATGTATGCCCAGAACCTGAAGGGGATAAAAAAAAAATAAAGTTGAATATCACCAGCGAAATGTAAAGTTGAACAATCTCCAACCAAAAAAGCATATTATTGGTTTTGCACGAGCTGCTTGAGAGAATAAAGAATTTCAGGCGGGGGGGGGCATCTTCATTATAATATGTGGTACTCTAAGAATTCATGCCCAGGCTTTTTCAAGGCTTAGACTTCTCACTGGTGCCCCCATTTCTCACCATCTGTATTTTTTTTTTCTAAGTCTATTATAAACTTCAAATTCCAAATCCTTCTTCACTGGACCACGAGATCGGTTTCTCTGCAGCAGCTCGAGATCAGTGCACTTTGAGATCTACCTTCACAGGTTTACACTCCCGGGTGGAGGGAGGTAATTGTAGTAAAGTGTCTTGCTTAAGAACACTAGAGAGCACCACCTCACCTGAATAGCCCATCTTCGTCTCTTCTGCCAAGTCTACATTTCATCGCCTGCGTGTCTGTAGCCTTGGGAGTGTTAACAGACTGCCACTTGATGGGCGAGTCGCAGAGCCCCATGCCCCAGCCATGAGGGCGCATGTTCATGAGCCAGTTGGTGTGAGAGAGGGGAATTGGCAAGGCGGCATTGGGGGTTAATGGGGGGAAGGTGATGGGGTCTGGGAAACCAAAAAGTGGGTACAAAGTATGTGTAAGTCATGATCAAAGAAAATTATGTTACATGGGTATGCTGACCCAGATATGATACAAAAGTGAATACAGAACCAAATAATGAGGCTATATCATAAATTCTCCCAACAAGTTAAGCAAAAAGCTTTAAAACATTATGGTAAGCCTCTATACAGACAAATTCTCCCATCTATAAATGTCATGTGTATGAAGTTAATATGAGTTTTAGGATCTGGAAGAAGTGAATTCTCCTTACTGTCTGTGGAAGAGTCTGGGTTGAAAAGATTGATGTCCATTGGGACATTCAGACGACTGACGACAGTCAGTGCTGATTGGACGGTCACAAGCTTACGTGCGCTGCCCTCAAGAGTAACATGGAAGAGAACTCGTTCCGCTCGTTGACTCGTGAACTGAAACATAAATTTAAACCTCCCAATTTTTTTAAAATATGGCTGACTTAATTCTAAGAAAAAATTGGTCTTTCAAGACACTCGCTTACTCACTTACCTTGGGCTAAACTACTTCAAAATGTAAACATTTAAGACTGATACTTGAGGACAATTACAACGAAATGAACACTTAGGATGAATCTTCAAACCAACGAGAATTAGGTAGAGTGGAAATTTCAACGATTAACCCTCTGTCAGTCCAATTCCTAGGATGTCGATGAGTTATGAAAGACTCAGGTCATAGACCAGTTTATAGAATGAGTGGGTGCTTTACAGCGTATTCCATATAATGGTGTTCTCAAGGTTGAAGCCATGTTCAAATTACTTGGCTGCGGCTAGCAATAATACATAAGTCTATGGGAAGTGGCTAGAGCCTTTAGCTAGTAGCTCACATAAGCACACATGCTGATCTATTAAAGCCATAGCCCAGTCATTTGGGACACGGCTTAACTTACTATGCTGGCTGTGTGCATGTGTTCAGGCTTGGCGAGGCGGAAAAACGTTCCCACTTTGTCAACAGAGACCGGGGCCATTCGCTCCCATCCTTCCACTCTTACCAGCAGCTGGTGTACTCGTAACTCATGAGTATTCTGTCATGGAGACATTAACAATTGAGAGTGAGTTCCTTGATAGCTGGGACTCGACCTTTGGCCCTTGACCTTAGACCAGAAATGGACAGCGTCCTTTGACATTAAGGGTAGTGTAGATTTTCTGTTTGAAATATTATGGTGAGTGCTACTCACTCTATGTCTCTGTTTGCCTTTCTCCTCAAAGACAAAAGGGACCTCTTGGCCAGGTAACACCTCCATCCATGATCCGGCTCCGCCCACAGATACCAGTGGGGAGGCAAGCTTCTCAGTGGGACTGCTAGCAACCCTGCAATTGTTCATAAATCCACACCAACTCAAAGGAGTTAAGAAAAGTAAACCACCACACAATACATCTGGCTTCCCTTATCGAGGCCATGCAAACTCAAAAGTACCAATTTTCTCTTGAAAGAACAGAAAAAAACGTTATCAATGAACAGATTTATAATCAAAACAAATCAGTTCAATAAAATGGGAACTTCCTTTACAAAATGTTTTAAGCCCACAAGAAATGGCACTCCAGACTAAAAAACATCAGCCATGATACATTTAAGATTTGAAGCTTTGCGTGGTGGAGGCTATATTGAGAGATGGTTTGCTGGTACACAATGTGGAATTGATCTCTTCTACAAAGAATGGTGGATTAGACTGAGGTTTTTTATGGATTTCCCTATTTTTCTCATTCTTGCTCTTGATGTTTGACACAAAAAAGAAAAAAGGACGCAGATGAGAACAATGACAGTTTTGTGAAATCAATACCAAGATAACCAGGGTATCTTCTTGGTTTTATTTTCTGTTGGTTGTTGGCCTACCTGTTGGGGTTTGTTGTGAGCGTTGCAAACCAGAGATTACATCCTGTCAGATTCCGCAGAGCGTAAGGAACAAAAGGAGACCTGTGTCTGGCTGGGAGGCTAAGACAAACAGAGGCAAGCAAGGAATGCACCACTGAATCTAAATTGGGAACACTTAAAGTCATGTGTTAACTCTCAAAGCACAAGCAGGGTTTCCATATCTAAAGGCAAATTGAATTCCGTGACTTTTCCATGACCAAATTATGAAGATCCACGACCCAATAATGCAATTTCTTGGACTATTCGGCCTTTTCAGTTGCGAATAAAATCATGCATTTTATGCACTTATTTCTGAGAATGGAAATTACACACAGCCTTTGAAAAATTCCATGACTTCAGTCATTTTACAAAATTCCATGACTTTTCCAGGCATGGAAAACGAAAACAAATTTCCATGACTTTTCCAGGCCGCAGGAACCCTGACAAGGCAAATTATCTTTTGAACAGTAAGAGTTTCACAGCCATTAACACACCCTTCTTTGGTTCCGGTCTTGTAGTAATCCTCTGTCCAGTTCTTCTTGGTGTTGCTGTATAGGTTCATTAGAGCACTAGTCAAATTCAGATCTAGCCGGTCATTGACTACGAGTACAAAAAGTACACGAGAATGTAGGAAAAGTTCAGATAATGAACCTTAATTTAAATAAAAACGTTTGGACACAAGTAAACAAAAGAGAAAAATAAAGTCACAAAGCATGTCAGACCATTTTTACCTTTGCAACCTTAAAGAGTTTTCCCGTATCAAACAAAGTCGTCCTT